GGCTACAGAGAGAATGTAAGACTGTAACTTTACTTCCTGGTCCCAACTCTGAATAGTCACATTTTGGGGGATTTGATAACTTTGGCCAGATTTTTATAACTGAGAGCTGCTCCATCCAAAGTGTGATGGATGCTGTCTTTCCTAACAAGACCAGGTTTCCTCCAGAAAGTTTCGCAATTATCTATAAAGCCCACATCGTTTTATGGACACCACTAAGCCAGCAATTTAAGGAGAACATGCGGCTAAACATGTCGCTCCAGGTCTGATTGGGGATGGAACAAGAGAAAACTAAAGAGTCCAACATTGCTTTTTCAAAACATTGACAGGACCTTCATCGAGCGGTAAGTTTCCATGAACCAGCGAGGAGGCGAGCGGCAGCAGACCGAAGGACCAACAGCAGGGCAGCACAGTGCCAAACATCCTGCTGCTGGCAGACAAAAGAAGAAGAAAAACCTGCACCACAACTCCCACAATCCTCAGTTTCTCCAACAAGAGTCTCTGAAAGGAGGAAACAGACACAGGCTTCAGTTTACCTGAAGGATTTGGAGCTAGTTGGAATAAGTTTGATAACATTGATTCACTGGTTAGATGTGATCTGATCCCACATTAAATACATAAATTAAACTAACCTGCTGGTTTATGAATTTCTCTTTTTTTTCAGTACATAAATCTAAGTTTGTAGTCATAAATTTCAGCACCAGGTGTTTTTTTTCTCCCTCAGATAAGAACTAACAGATTATTATTCTTATAACTGAAGTGGGTAAGATCTGTTGAAATTTCCACTCTGAATGAAGAAGGATTTTTTCAAAGTCTAAAACTTGGAGAAAAAAACAAATTAAATATTTAAATACATCTCCCTTTCTTTCTTAGCAATAACACACAGTAGATGTTTTCATTAAGCACACTGTCAGTTACATCATATATATATATATAATAAAAGATTAGTCAATGGTGATGTAAATCTTTATTTTTAGCCTCAGTTAAGGAGTTCTTTCACTCCTTTACAGTGAATCAGCTGCACATGTGAATGTCATGGTCCCTCACACTGGAAAATCAAACTTAGCTCTTTGTCAGCATCACCTGTTAAAACTCCCACTGTCCAGATAAGATGTAACCACCCTGGTTCCATCCAATCACATCACACTCCTG